TTGTCTGATGCTAGGTCCTGAATGCTCCTCAGAACTCTGCCATGCTAGTGTGTCTGTCTGTCCATAGCCACCAATAACTCTTCTAGTAAACTCCATATTGTGGTGATATATTATTTATAATTTACTAAAACCACTGGAGATCAAAACAGCAGAGCAGCCACACTATAGTTAGCTATAGAAGCTAGATGGTGGTAGCACACACCTTTAATCCCAGGACTCAGGATTAAGAGGTAGACAGATCTCAGTTAGTTCAAGGCCACTCAGGGCTACCCGAGATTGAATCAGTCTAAAAGAATAACAGAGCTCACACCTTTAATCCCAGGACTCATGAGAGGTATTTAAGACAGGAAGAGGGTCTCAGAGCTGGCATTAATTCTCCAGCTACTTTGAGGATAGGAAGGCATTGATTCTTCAGCTACACTGAAGACAGGCAGCCTTCTGAGGCTTGGTGAGAGCTTGTGGAGACAAGATCAGCCCTTTCAGCCTGAGGTAGAGGTGAGAGCTAGCGGCTTGACTGCTTTACTTCTCTGATCTTCAGCTTGAAGACTAAACCCCAATATCTGTCCCTGGGTCTTTTATTTTGTGTGCTACACCATATTCCCAACAACTGATCTCAGTGTCTTTTTTGACCCTCATATCCTAGACCTGCCACCTAGGATAGAATATGGGACATGAACTTATGATAATATGCAACCTTCTTACACAAAATTATGTGATAGTCCATGAAATACCTTGCACTTCATAGCTTTTTTAAAACCAAATTTTTTCTTAAACTGCTCGTGTAACTGAGCCTCAGTCAATGGGAGTCTTTTCACTCTCAGATTGTTCACGATTTCATTTATGGCTCCCCACCATTGAGTCTTATGGAGTTGCTGGTAGAAAATTTCAAGTTCAAAGTAGATCACATAGTAGCTATAAAAAACAAAGGAAAAGGGTGGGGTGTTTATAGTTTTGAAATAATTTCTACTTATTTGTATTCTAGATCAAAACTTGTTTATTCCATAATAATTACTTCAAAGTAGATCACATAGTAGCTATAAAAAACAAAGGAAAAGGGTGGGGTATTTATAGTTTTGAAATAATTTCTACTTATTTGTATTCTAGATCAAAACTCGTTTATTCCATAATAATTACCTACAGAACTGTATTTTGAGCTATACTTGATTGTAAAAATACTAATATCATTATCAGCTGACCTTATCTGATAATTACTCTTTTATTGACCACTTGGGTTGGTTCTGTAGTCCCATGACAGGAATTGGAGCATTATTTAGAAGTCACTAGAAGCCCAGGTTCTAGGGAAAGAGTCCTAGGTTTATCATACACCCATTTTCCTTCCTCCTTACTGCTTTAATCTATGTGTCCATAATTTGTTTTCCTGAAGGATAATTTGCCTTAAACCCAACCTGGAATGATGTTTTAGGGAATGTCCCCTTGGCTGTACTGCCCAAGTAGGAGAAAGAAACTCCAAGCCTACCCTGAGACTTGCAACTAACATGGGCCCCCCTCATTCTGGAGTAGAGCAGTGACAAAATATTGAATGACTGTTCCCTCCAGTGACTTCTTATAGGGGAATGCTTCTGCTTCCTATGGGGAGGCATTGTGACTGTTCTGCCAGTAGTGAAGAGTCTTAAGAGAAGCACTTGGTTCGTCTTGGTGTCCCCTTAGGATTATATCCAGAGCCAGTTAAGAGAAGCACTTGGTTCGTCTTGGTGTCCCCTTAGGATTATATCCAGCAAAACAGGGGAGGGGTAGGAGGATGGGCGTTGTCTCTACTACAGTAGAAACTTGAGGAGTAATAGCTGCTAAAGATTTGTTTGTTTGTAGTCGAGAGCATCTCTGGTGAGATAATTTTGTGATGTCCATGGTCAGCTGTCCAGTAAGGTTTGCACTGGCCACAGAGAGATGCCTATTTGAAGAACAGAACTCCCAGATGGCCCGTGCTGCAACCTTCATTCAACTCCTGTGTGCTGACATATTACATCTCTTAGTCAAACCTTAAGGGTAGTTATCAACAGGGGCTTTAGGAAAGTCTCATTTTAAGGCTCCCTGCCTCTATCTTCTTCTGCCTGGAAATGTGTCCCTGAATTATGTATTATGGCGAGGAACTTCCCTGGCACTCGTTTTTTAAGAAGATTTCTGATAAACTTCCCCACATTTACAACAGTATTATGATATTGGTAAGTTCTTCTCCAAAATGGGTATTTTAGGACAATCAATCTATTTGCTCCAATAATTATCATCTTTATGAGTCATGAATTTTTCTACTCTCATAGACTTCCAATTCACTGAGTATCTGATTGTAGTCCCATGCTGTTATTCTTGTATGATGGGAAAACTCACTCTGAACCTAAAATAAATCTAGGATCTAGATGTTTCCCAATATGACTATAGGACCTAGTGTAAATTTAAAGGACTGGGTGTCTCTTGGGAAGCAAATCAGAGAAAATGACAGGAAAGCTCTATGAGCTCAATATAGTAACTATTTCTTAAAATCAAGGAAAGCAAGAGGTTTTCAAATGCCCTGCTTTCAGTCATTCACATTAGCCTCTGGTCCAGCACTGATACAGCCGCCCTATGTTATGGGGGAAGAAAAACAAGCAAAATGTCTAAACAAAGCAGTTTGAAATTATTGGGGTTTTAAGGTAGTGCTACCTTGAAAACATGAACTGAGAAAGGAACACCTTTCACTGGATTGGTGTCAAATCTAACTGAGATACATGACATTTGTCAGGCATGGCAAGGAGCCAGCCTGAGAGGGGACACCAGCCACTCGTCCAGAATCAGTGGTTATCAATAAGATGGTGTTTGTCTAGTTGCCTTTACAAAGCTGAGCACCCAGCAGGAGATAGAAGCGAGTCTGGCAGGAAAAGAAGCAGCCAAAGATTTCTCATTGCAGTTGAGAATACTGGCCAATTAGCATATGGAACTCTGATTACAATTATGCAGAGACTGGATTTTACACTGGATGAAGGTTATCAAGTAATTGATATGATAGCCTTGAAAATACAAATTGTTTATTTGTGTTTTTTAACTTTTATTTCTTGCTGTTTGGGTCTAGAAGCAAGCTTATTTTGTATTTTTTTTTATTAAGGTGTGTGTATGCAAATACACGTGTATGTGTGCATGCATGCATGTATGTGTGAATGTGTCTAGAGGTTATCTTCCTTCATGATTCTTCCCCCCATGTTTTGAATCAGAGTCTCTCATTGAACACAAAGCTCACTAATTGGCTGGTGTAAGTGGCCAGTGAGCCCCTGGGGTCCTTCAGTCTCCACCTCCTAGCACTGGAGCCACAGGCACACTGTGTGATGCTAGGGATCAGATCCCAGACTCATGTATGTTGAACAAGCACTTTACTCATTGAGCCATCTCCCAGAACCAATTACAGACACAAAAACTTGAAAGATCAGATCTACCTACCTATGGCTCACCAACACTGATTCCCAAATGCTGTGCATCAGTAAAGAACCAGAGAAACAGTTACATAATGACATCACATTGCAGGGGTTGGATCTCTTACAGTGCAAGAGCAGGATGTGTACACCAACCATACTGTTGCACCACGGACAGCCTCTCATTAATCTAGCTCTTCTCCCTACTATTTCCCTGCACTTCCAGGATCAGTGGTGTCCCAGAGCCTAACAGAAACTGGAGAATACAAATTCAATCACAGATGTCTCCAGGACATTATGTAGCTTGGCAAGAACTGTCTGTCTATTCAATAGGTGTTGGATCTTTGAGCAAGACCATCCTCTTCCAGAGAGGTAACAAACCATTTAAGGCACAAGACATTTCCATGGACTCTGCCTATGAGGAAGAGGCACCTTCACACAGGTCCTCAAACATCTGCATCTTCACGATGCTTTTCCTCCTTAGGAACCACAGTCACTAGGTCTTTGGCTTCATGCATACAGTACATGAGTATACTCAGTACTCAATAGAAAGATTGATCACATTCCATCCTTTGTCTTCATACTTCCTTTGCCTCATTTCTCGTAACCTCCTCATCCCCATGCATCTTCAGAATGTGTGATTTTTATTTTTACCTCTTCCCATTGCCTTAACTTCCCCCACGTTACCCTTTAATTTGCTGCAAATAGCCTCCCGTAATCACAGTCTCATTAAAATTCCCTTACCAAATCATAGCCAACTTTAGAAGGAGCTCTTCATTCTTTTTTGTTTCTCGACTCCTAGTCCTGCCTAACTTGCTTCCCTATTGGTCAACAATGCTTTATTTATCAACCAATAAGACAAACATTTACACAGAAGGATCTCCCCCCATTTTCTGTCTAAATAAAAAGAAGGGTTTTACCATTAACATAGTAAAATATATAACAAGACAGTTATCAAGTAAGTACCATAGTTACAATATTTAGTTCGTTAACATTTGGAGCTCTTCATTCTTAACTTGAGTGTTACTTTCTGTCATATCTGATGCTTTCACTAATTCACATTCTTACACACCTCATTTGGCTGCTATTCTGTAAGTCACCTGGTTTTCTTCCTTGTGTGTTATCACCTCTCAATCTCATTTACTGCCTCTCCCATGTTTCTCCCTATTCCAGTTTTGAAATTTCTATTCTCCAGAATCCCAGACTTGGTTCTCAGCTGCCGCCATGCCACCAGAGGAACAAATAGGCAAACACACCTTCCAACATGCTTTTTTTCCACCTCTAATCCAAATATTTTCTCTGAGCTCTATCATCCATGTTTCCAAACTTGTATTCATGGTAAAATACAAGAACACAGTACATGAAAGACCCTAGCGACACTGGAAGAACTGTATCATTTCAGAAGATGGAAAGCATAGCAGTGTCTGGCAGAGAAAGTTTGGAACTTTTAATATGCTCCTTATGGCAATGAAACAGCGTGTCCTTTAAGCTGCCTCTCAGAAGTTGGTTCCCACCATCATCCCTATTTAACATTTGGGCTCATTATAAGAATTAATTCTAAACTATAAGGATATTTGCCAGATTTATTGAAGTAAGTGAGATAATAAGCAGTTAGTGTCATTTTGAGTCTGCTATCCACAAGATCATCACTGTTCTAAGATCGCCATCCTATGACTTTAAGCTAGCTTTTGCATTTCAACACTTTCGTGTTTTCTGCTAACATTCAGCTGTGGATGGTATGAATGGAAAGCTCCTTACCTCTTTCCATAAAACTCCATGACTGGTACTGAGTAAAATTCTTTGTATCCTGAATCTTCTGCAAAGGTATTAGCAGCACACTCCCGTATTTTTCCTATATTATTCTAAAATACAAATCACATATTAAAAACTTTGAAACAGGCTTGAGGTGAGTGTGGGCCCAAACTCCTGACATCCCCCCTCCTTGGATCTTCTTGGGCCTGCCCCATGCCTAGAGTGTCTCAGACACACCTGCACCCAGCATGAGACCCATCAGAGCAGTGGACCTGCTTGAACCTACTAAAAGAGAACCTTAGTCCCCTACCCACCAGCAGAGGAAGAGACCCCACTTGCACCCACTGGAAGAAGGGGTGGGAAGATGACAATATAAAAACATTCAACAACAGAAAGACCAATACGACGCCACCAGAGTCCAGGGACTCTACACCAGCAAGACCTGAACATCCCAAAGCAGATGAAGCAGAAAAGAATGACCTTAAACACAACTTCATGAAAATAATAGAGGCCCTCAAAGAGGACATGAGAAAATCCCTTAAAGAAATGGAAGAAAAAACAAACCAAAAAATGCAAGAAATTAACACATCTCTTGAGGAAGCAAGGGAAGCCAAGAAAAAACAATCAAACAGATGAAGGAAACAATTCAAACAGTTCAAGACATGAAAACTGAAATAGAGACAATAAAGAAAACACAACCTGAGGGAATGCTGGAAATAGAAAAGCTGGGTAAACAATCAGGAACTACAGATGTAAGCATAACCAATAGAATACAAGAGATGGAACACACAATCTCAGCTGTTGAAGATTCACTAGAAGAAATACAGTCAATGACCTCAGAAAATCTCAAGTCCAACAAATCCCTAACACAAAATATCCAGGAAATATAGGACACTGTGAAAAGGCCAAACCTAAGAATAATAGGTATAGAAGAAGGCAAAGAAATACAGCTCAAGGGTACAGAAAACATATTCAACAAAATCCTAGAAGAAAACTTTCCCAACCTAAAGAAAGATATGCCTATGAAAATACAAGAAGCTTACAGAACACCAAATAGACTGGACCACAAGAAAGTCCCCTTGCCACATAATAATCCAAACGTCAAACTTACAGAATAAAGAAAAATATTAAGAGCAGCAAAGGAAAAAGGCCAAGTAACATATAAAAGCAGATCTATCAGAATTATACCCAACTTCTCTATGGAAACTCTGAAAGCCAGTGCTAAAGTGTAGATGTCCTACAAATGCTAAAGAAACATGGGATGCCAGCCCAAACTACTATACTTAGCAAAGCTTCCAATCACTATAGATGGAGAAAAAAACAAGATATTCCATGACAAAACATGACTTAAACAATACATATTCACAAATCCAGCCCTACAGAAAATACTGGAAGGAAAACTCTACCCAAGGAAGATAGCTACACTCACAAAAACATAGGTAATAGATAATCCTACAGTACCAAACACCAAAAGAAAAAAAGGGGGGGGGGGAAATCCACGCACAATACCACCACCAACAACAAACCGAAAACAAACAAGTATTAACAATCAATGGTCATTAATATCCCTCAATGTCAATGGTCTTAACTTGCCTATAAAAAGACACAGGCTAACAGAATGGATATGAAGACAGAATCCATCCTTCTGCTGCATACAAGAAACACATCTCATTGTCAAAGACAGATGTTACCTCAGAGTAAAGTGTTGGGAAAAGATTTTCCAATCAAATGGATCCAAGAAACAAGCTGGCGTAGCAATCCTAATATTTAACAAATTAGATTTCAAACAAAAATCAATCAAAAGAGATGAAGAAGGTCATTTCATATTGATCACAAGAAAAGTCCATCAAGATGAAGTCTCAATTCTGAACATCTACACCCCAAATAAAAAGTAACACACATTAGAAAAGAAATATTACTAAAGCTCAAATCACACATACAACCTCACAAACTTATAGTAGGAGACTTCAACACCCTGCTCTCACCACTAGACAGGACCACCAGACAGAAACTTAACAAAGAAACAAGGGAACTAACAGAAGTTATGACCCAATTATAATTAGCAGACATCTATAGAACATTCCATCCAAAAACAAAAGAATATACCTTCTTCTCAGCACCACATGGAACCGTCTCTAAAATCAACCACATCCTTGGCAACATAGCAAACCTCAACAGATAAAAATAAAATTGGAATAACCCCCTGTATCCTACCAGATCACCATGGTTTAAAGTTAGAATTCAACAACAACACAAATTGCAGAAAC